CTAGGACTTGAAAGATAGTTAGGATTTGAGTGCCTAGAAGAATGGTTACAGTGTGAACAAAGAAGTAGAATAAACTTCTGTTTGTGAGATAATAAAGATCATATCTAAACTGTGGGATTATTTTATTTTTAATTGACAATAATTATATATATATTTATAGGGTACATTGTGATGTTTCCATACTTGTATACATTGTAGAACCATCAAATCATGCCAATTAACATATCCATCACCTCAAATATAATTTATTTGTGGTGGGTAAGAACATTTAAAATCCATTCTTTTTGTTATTTTGAAATATACATTACTATTACCTATAGGAGGTTATTTTGAATTAGTCGGAAATAATGTTGCAAAAGTGTCAAGTGAGAAACAAACAGCCCCACCAGATTATAATATCCACAAGGGCTGGAATCTTTGTCCATTTTGCTGAGTATATATCCAAAGTATCTAGAATCATTCATGCTTGATATATGGTAGATACTGAATAAATGTACACTTTAAATAATTTTTTGGTTTTCATACAGAGTCTTGCTCTGTTTCCCCAGCTAAAGTGTAGTGGTGTCGTCATACCTCACTACAACCTCAAATTCCTAGGCTTAAGCCATCCTCCTCCTTCAGCCTCCTAAGTAGCTGGGACTACCTGTACACTCCACCACGCCCAGCTAATTTTTTCTATTTTTGGCAGAGACAGGGTCTCACTCTCGCTCAGGCTGGTCTCGAACTCCTGAGTTCCAGCAATCCTCCCACCTTGGCCTCCCAGAATGCTAGGATTACAGGCATGAGCCACTGTGCCCAGCCTACTTTTTAAATATTTTAAACTTATTTAGGTATAATTGTTATATAATAAGAGGTACATATTTAAAGCATGCCATTTAACATTTTAATTTTTATTCTTTATTTTTTTGGAAATAGGGCCTTGCTATGTTGCCCAGGCTGGACTTCAACTCCTGGGCTTAAGAAATACTCCTGCCTCAGCCTTCCAAATAGTTGGGACTACAGGCATGCACCACTAGACCCAGCCATTGAATATTTTTAAATGAGATAGTATTCAACTGTATCTGTAATGCTTTATTTCTTAAATAAACAAAAAAGAAGCAAGTGAGTCAAAAATCTAAACATTTCTTAAATCTGAATGGTTGGGGCTGGGCCGGTGGCTCAGGCTTGTAATCCTAGCACTCTGGGTGGGCGGATTGCTCGAGTTCAGGAGTTCAAAACCAACCTGAGCAAGAGTGAGACCCCGTCTCTACTAAAAATAGACAGAAATTAATTGGCCAACTAATATATATATAGAAAAAATTAGCCGGGCATGGTGCCACATGCCTGTAGTCCCAGCTACTTGGGAGGCTGAGGCAGCAGGATTGCTTGAGTCCAGGAGTTTGAGGTTGCTATGAGCTAGGCTGTCACCATGGCACTGACTCTAGCCTGGGCAACAAAGCAAGACTCTGTCTCCAAAAAAAAAAAAAAAAATCTGAATGGTTGGGGTGTTTATATATTTCCCTATGCTTTATATGTGTTTGAAATGCTTAGACATTTTTAAAGGGGAGCAATAGTTTTAGAAATATGAGGCTTGAATGAAGGAGTCTTAGGAGAAAACATTAGTGGGGATGGAATTCTGGTTTTCTGAATATATTTTTATGTTTTTTTTTTGTTTTTGAGACAGAGTCTCGCTTTGTTGCCCAGGCTAGAGTGAGTGCTGTGGCGTCAGCCTAGCTCACAGCAACCTCAAACTCCTGGGCTCAAGCAAACCTTCTGCCTCAGCCTCCCAAGTAGCTGGGACTACAGGCATATGCCACTATGCCCGGCTAATTTTTTCTATATCTATTAGTTGGCCAATTAATTTCTTTCTATTTATAATAGAGACGGGGTCTTGTTCTTGCTCAGGCTGGTTTTGAACTCCTGACCTCAAGCAATCCGCCCGCCTTGGCCTCCCAGAGAGCTAAGATTACAGGCGTGAGCCACTGCACCTGGCCTCTGAATATATTTTTAAATTCTTTTGTGGTTTTAAAAAGTTTTTTAATGAAAATAATACATATACACAGTTTAAAGGGCAAATAGTGTTAGAAGTCTTAAAATTAAAAAATCCTCCCACTCTCGTTCTCTGGATACAATTACTTGGAACTCATGACTGCCTCTTCCATTATTTACTGCCATATTTCTAAGCATTGTATATATTGTTAGTGTCTAATTTTGGACAGTGCCTTTTATATTGGTGTTAGAATAGATAAGGCTTTTAGCTTTCTTATTCTTTTGCTTCTCAAACCCTTTTAATGGATTTAGGTTTTTGTTTTTGCTTTTCCCATAATAGTAAAAGTATACACCACCATTTTTTAACCCCTTTGGACCTCAGGTTCATCCTTGGTCCAGGGATGGTATAATTATATTTATTTAATAAATGTAATAAGCACTTGCAAACTCAAAAGAACATTGAAAGTGTTGAATCTTGTATCTAATGATCTTTTTTAATGGCTGCATTTAAAAAATATAGTTCAGTTAATCATAATCCTTTTACTACTTTTTTGATATTATAAAAATTATAGGCCGAGCACTGTGGCTAATGCCTGTAATTCTAGCACTCTGGGAGGCTGAGGCTGGAGGATCACTTGAGGTCAGGAGTTTAAGACCAGCCTGAGCAAGAGTGAGACTCCGTCTCTACTAAAAACAGAAAAATTAGCCTGGCATTGTGGTGTGTGCATGTAATCCCAGCTATTTGGGAGGCTGAGGCAGGAGAATTGCTTGAGCCCAGGAGTTGGAGGTTGCTATAGCACTCTACCCCAAGTGACAGAATGAGACTCCAGCTCCAAAAAATAAATAAGTAAATAGAAAAATTAGCCAGACATGGTGGTGCACACCTGTAGTCACAGCTACCCTGGAGCCTGAGGCAGGAGGATAACTTGAGCTCCCAGGAGTTTAAGGTTTTAGTGAGTTGTGATAGTGCCACTGAACCGTAGCCTGGGCAACAAAGCGAAACCAAAAATTCAGTATTAGAATCTTACAGGACCACTGTTGTATATGCAGTTCATTGTACACAAAACCATCATTATCCAGTACATTATTGTATTTGGAATTTGTTTTGTGAATATTGAGTTTACTGAATGGTTTGTCTTTCCCCATTAAAAAAAAAACAGTATGGACTCATGGTTTTTTGTTTTATCCAGTGGATTGTAATCCACTAGTATCATTACTTATTTGGATGTTCAATTTCCCAGTACCCTTTCAGGGTGGCTTTGGAGTTCTTTTGCCATATCCTCATCATTCGTTGAACACCTTCTGACTCTCTGGAGCAAGAGGGTGTTTCAGGCTCATCTTGTTTCTCTATTCTAGCGCTGGAATCAGCCTTTTCTCTAAGGAGCCATTTAGGAAAACCATTCTCCTTTTATAGGAATTGATATTTAGAAACCAACATGTGGGCACTTGATGTGCTTGTTGCTTTTGGTGTGTCACTGCTTCCAGGCCTTCTCAGTGGACAGATGGTTTGAACTATAGCTGTCCCTTGGTATCCCCAAGAAATAGGTTCCATAACCCTATCAGATACCAAAATCTAAGGATGCTGAAGTCCTTTTTATAAAATGATGTAGTATTTACAGATAACCTATGTACTTTTTCCTGTATACTTTAATTCATCTCTAGAGTACTTATAATACATAATACTATATAAATGCCATGTAAATAGTTGTTATACAGTTTTTTATTTATATTACTTTTGTTATTTTTAATTATTATTTTCCAAATATTTTCAATCTGTGATTGGGTTAAATATGCAGATGCAGAGGGCTGGCTGTGTTTTTTATTTTATTTTATTTTATTTTATTTTATTTTATTTTATTTTATTTTATTTTATTTTATTTTTTGAGTCAGAGTCTCACTTTGTTGCCCAAGCTAGAGTAAGTGCCATGGCGTCAGCCTAGTTCACAGCAACCTCAAACTCCTGGGCTCAAGCAATCCTACTGCCTCACCCTCCCGAGTAGCCGGGACTACAGGCATGCGCCACCATGCCTGGCTAATTTTTTCTATATCTATTAGTTGGCCAATTAATTTCTTTCTATTTATAGTAGAGACGGGGGTCTTGCTCTTGCTCAGCTGGTTTTGAACTCCTGACCTTGAGCAATCCTCCCACCTCAGCCTCTCAGAGAGCTAGGATTACAGGCGTGAGCCACCGGCCTGGCCTTGGCTGTGTTTTTTAAACAGTGATTTACTTGTTTCTGTTGGTATCTTTGTTATAAAGACAAAATGGTATTACAGGAAGTTTTAGAGAAAGCGAAAATAATCCATAATTTTATTGCCCCAACTGTAACTATTTTCATTTTTTCTTCTTCCTCCCTACTATTCATATGCATTCAGTTGCAATGCTAGTATATGAATGGTTTTTGTTTTCTTTGTTTTTCATTTATGTGATATCATTTTACATTTGGCCGTATAAATTGCTTCATAATTATTTTTAAGGCATACATTTTCTTTCATCAAGCAGCTACTTATTGGGCATTTAGTTTACTTTCAGTTTTTCCTAACAAATAATAGCTGTAGTGGACAAATTTTGTGTATGTATCTCTCTTTGTTTTTCTTTTAAATTCCCAGAAAGGTGAGAAGTCAGGGTCAAAGATGCGAATTAACTCTACAGTATGTAGATACTTCTTGGCAGTTTGCTTTCCAAAGGAATCAAAAGAATGTTGCATATATTCAGTTGATATATTGTTACTTGTTGGAGATTGAATGGACTATTTCATTCAGTTTTGTTTGCTATTAAATCATAGGGTACATTATGATTATTTTCATCATAAGTTTTTAAAGAACTTTGTTTTGTTAGATTATGGGGCGACACAACTTATTTTTATTATTGCTTTATTTTATAGATGAAAATGACAGCTTTGAGTTTGGTCACTTGTTTCTAAGACCCTTTTAGTGCTACTTTAGGGAAACATTTATATATTAAAAAATATTCATACATAGGAATTTGTTTAAAATACTAAATTGAGAACTTTAGCTTTTGTTTCCTTTTACAGGAAGGCAAAAGAGAATGAAAGAAGTAGATAATCTTGAAAGTATAAAAGAAGAATGGTAAGTTAATTCAAACTCTGCATTTCTTTGTTAGTATCTTTCTCTATAGTAAAGTAAGTTTACTATAAACTCAGTAAATACCTGGTAGTAATATATGTCGAGTTTTTTTTCCTCACCATAGTTGCATTGAACAGATTTTAGTGAAGTAATGAATCTTTTTGGTTATTAATAAAAAACGGTGCTTACAAAGTACAATGGTGCATGCCTGTAGACCTAGCTACTCAGGAATCTGAGGTAGGAAGATCACTTAAGCCCAAGAGTTCAAGCCAGGCCTAGGCAATGTAGCAAGAACCCTGTCTCTTAAAAACAAAAAAGACCACACACACACAAAACTCCAAAACATAAACCAAAAATGCAATGTTAAATTTCTCTCTGTTAATACATTACTTCTGTTATTTAAGTGAGAACTTTATGTCACTACCTCTCTGTCTTCTTATTTTGTACTATTTTGGAGTCGTCGTAGAAGTATAATGCCTTTGGAGTCAGATAAATATAAGCTTGATGGCCTGGCGTGGTGGCTCGCCTGTAATCCTAGCACCCTGGGAGGCCGAGGCGGGCGGATTGCTCGAGATCAGGAGTTTGAAACCAGCCTGAACAAGAGCGAGACCCCATCTCTACTATAAATAGAAAGAAATTAATTGGCCAACTAATACATATATATAAAATTAGCCGGGCATGGTGGCACATGCCTGTAGTCCCAGCTACTCGGGAGGCTGAGGCAGAAGGATTACTTGAGCCCAGGAGTTTGAGGTTGCTGTGAACTAGGCTGACGCCATGGCACTCACTCTAGCCTGGGCAACAAGTGAGACTCTGTCTCAAAAAAAAAAAAAAAAATGTACATATATATATATATATATAGGCTTGAATCCCATGTATGCCTTGTATTCTCTCTGGCCTTTGAGCAACTTAGGTAGATTCTTTGAGCTTGAATATGTCATCTATAAAATGGGGATATAAATACCCCTGCACGAAAGATTTTTGTGAGAATTGCATAGCAAACAGAAAGCACTTAGCATAGTATTAGTACATATTGGGCACTCAGTAAGTGTTGGGTCAGTTGAACAATAATTGTCTGAAGCCAAGAACCCATCCTTTTTTTTTTTTTTTTTTTTTTTTTTTTTTTGAGACAGAGTCTCACTTTGTTGCCCAGGCTAAAGTGAGTGTAGTGGCGTCAGCCTAGCTCACGGCAACCTCAAACTCCTGAGCTCAAGCTATCCTACTGCCTCAGCCTTCTGAGTAGCTAGGACTATAGGCATGCGCCACCGCGCCCGGCCAAGAACTCATCCTTTTTTTTTTTTTGTATATATACTTTTAGTTGGTTGATTAATTTCTTTCTATTTTTGGTAGAGACAGGGTCTCACTCAGGCTGGTTTCAAACTCCTGACCTCAAGCCATCCACCTGCCTTGGCTTCCCAGAGTGCTAGGATTACAGGCATGAGCCACTGCACCTGGCCTAAGAACCCATCCTTTTAAAGCTCTGTATTTCTGCAAATGTTCAGGGAAATCTGGATATTAAGACAAGAAGGTCTACCATTTTTCTACCTTTGCTGGCAAAGTAATAGAACTTCTCTTCCCCCCCCCCAAAAAAAATAAGTGTTAGATACAAAGTCTATGATTCTTATCCATATATTTTATTCTCATTTATGTGAGATGAAATATTTTTATATTGTACTCATTGTTTTAACTACTTCCAGAGGTCAGTTTCTTTCATTCATATCCCATTTAAGGAGACAGAGGAGTATATACTTCATACTTACAGATGCCTTATAAACAGTTCTTTTTTCTTTTCCTCCTCCTCCCCTACTTCTATACCAAACAAATATTATTTGTTATTTTTTTCCTCAGGCATTTTTTGTTTTATATAAGAATTTAACACTAATTATATATTTGTGGGATTATGTCAAAAGTCTCCAAGACCCCTCCCAGGTTTGATGGTTTGCTAGGAAGATTCACAGGATTTAGCATATAGTCATACCCATAGCTATAATTTATCATAGCAATGAGTTACAAAGCAAAATCAACACGGAAAAAGTGCATAGGGCATAGCCTAAGGGAAACCAGACACAAGCTTTCAAGGGTCTTCACCCAGTGTACTCGCCCAGGATGTACTTAATTTCCCCAGTAAAAAGTTGTCACAATACATGTGAAGTGTTTTCTACCAGGGAAGCTCATTGGAGATGAACCTAGAGTTTATTGGGAATTCGTCGCCTACAAAAATTTCAAATTTTCGTAAGGAAAGTTGGAGTTCAATACAAACCACGTTGTTTATATGAGCAGTTTATGTACAGTGAGCCATTCTTATAAATTAGCATGGTAGAAACCTTTCCAAAATCCAAGATGGAAGCCCAGGGCCAACCTTGTAAGCAAGTCTTTCAAAGGATAGCAGTCAGGGACAGGCGCAGTGGCTCACACCTGTAATCCTAGCACTCTTGGAGGCCAAGGCAAGTGGATCACTCAAGGTCAGGAGTTGGAAACCAGCCAGAGCAGGACCTAGACCCCATCTCTACTAAAAATAGAAACAAATTAATTGGCCAACTAAAAAAATATATATATAGAAAAAATTAGCTGGGCATGGTGGCACGTGCCTGTAATCCCAGCTATTCAGGAGGCTGAGGTAGAAGGTTTGCTTGAGCCCAGGAGTTTGAGGTTGCTATGAGCTAGGCTGACGCCACAGCACTCACTCTAGCCCGGGCAACCGAGTAAGACTCTGTCTCAAAAAAAAAAAAGGATAGCAGTCAGGCCTGCTATGTTAATTCTTTTCTGTACAGAGATAGATTCAATGACTGATTTGAAAATCAGAAAATACGAAAATGTTGGTAATACAGTTTATAATTTTTTTATGAAAATGTTTTGTCAAACAAAGTTGCCCAGTAAAAAATGAAGATTGATTTCCTAAGTGTATCAGTTATTCAAAGATCATAAATGTTGAAGTTCCATGTTAACCATATGTGCTACTAAAGCATACACACATGCAAATCCTTCACGTATTTGGACAGCAGGTAACTGATAGATAACCTTATTTATGCAGAACACAGTAGAGGATGAGAAAGTAAGCAAAAGAGTTGTTCTGCAGCCAAAACAGTTGTTTCAAAGTCCCTTACCTGAATCAAAGGAAGCAACAGAATGAAAAGACAGCCTACAGAAAGGGAAAAAATATTTGCAAACCATATATCTTACAGGGTGTCAATTTCTAGAATATATAAGGTAATCCTATAATTTAATAGCAAAAACAAACAAACGAAACTAATAACCTGATTGAAAAATGGACTGAAGACTTGAATAGGTATTTTTTCAAGGAAGGTATATCAAGGCCAGCTGGTATATGAAAAAATGCTCAGTGTCACTAATCATCAGGGAAATGCAAATCAAAACTAGGATAATCACCTCACACCTATCAGAACGGCTATTATCAGTAAAACAAAAGACAAGTGTTAGTGAGGATGTGGAGAAAAGGGAACCTTTATACACTGTTGGTGGGAATGCAAAATGGTTCAGCTGCTATGGAAAAATAGTATAAGCATTCCTTTAAAAATAGGCCTGGCGTGGTGGCTCATGCCTGTAATCCTAGAACTCTGGGAGGCTAAGGCGAGCGGATAGCTCAAGGTCAGGAGTTCAAAACCAGCCTGAGCAAGAGCGAGACCCCAGTTCTACTATAAACAGAAAGAAATTAATTGGCCAACTAATACATACAGAAAAAATTATCCGGGCATGGTGGTGCATGCCTATAGTCCCAGCTACTCAGGAGGCTGAGGCAGGAGGACTGCTTGAGCCCAGGAGATTGAGGTTGCTATGAGCTAGGCTGACACCACAGCACTCACTCTAGCCTGGGCAACAAAGCGAGACTCTGTCTCAAAAAAAAAAAAATTTAAAAATAGAGCTACCATTGAATAGATCAGTGAATGGATTGCTGAATAGAATCAGCAGTCCCACTTCTGGGTATTCAAAGGAATTGAAATCATAATCTTGAAGAGGTATTAGCACTCTCATGTTCACCAATAGCCAATATGTGGAAACAACCTAAATGTCTATTGACACATAAATGGGTAAAGAATACATGATGTTTATATACAATGGAATATTATTCAGTCTGGAAAAAGAAGGAATGTCTGTAGTATGCACACAGCATAGACCTCAAGGATGTAACGCTAAGTCAAATAAGCCAGTCTCAGAAGGACAAATACTGCACGATTCCACTTATGTGAGGTATTTAAAATAGGCATGTTCATAAAATTAAAGAGTGGACTAGTGCTTGCCGGGGGCTGGGAGAAAGTGAAAATGAGTAGTGCTAATCAGTGGGCATAATATTACAGTTAAGCAAGATGAATAAATTCTAGAGATGTGCTGAACAACGTTATATTAATGATTAACTTAAAAATTTGATAAGAAGTTAGATCTCATGTTAAAATAAGTCTTTATAACTTCAGAAAACCCCTAAGATTTTGCTATACCTTTTTTTTTTTTGAGACAGAGTCTCACTTGTTGCCCAGGCTAGAGTGAGTGCCGTGGCGTCAGCCTAGCTCATAGCAACCTCAGACTCCTGGGCTTAAGCGATCCTCCTGCCTTGGCCTCCCAAGTAGCTGGGACTGCAAGCATGCGCCACCATGCCCGGCTAATTTTTTTCTATATGTATTAGTTGGCCAATTAGTTTCCTTCTATTTATGGTAGAGACAGGGTCTCGCTCTTGCTCAGACTGGTCTCGAACTCCTGAGCTCAGACAATCCGGCCACCTCGGCCTCCCAGAGTGCTAAGATTACAGGCGTGAGCCACCGCGCCCGGCCTATATCATACCTTAATACGGTAAAAGATTAAGGGATTCTCTGGGCCAGGCATGGTGGCTCACGAGGCAGACGGATTGCTCAAGGTCAAGAGTTGGAAATCAGCCTGAGCAAGAGCAAGACCCCATCGCAACTAAAAGTAGTAAGAAATTAATTGGCCAACTAAAAATATATAGAAAAAATTAGCCGGGCATGGTGGCACATACCTGTAGTCTCAGCTACCCG